AGAAATTACACAGGTAATAGAACAGTTGTTGATGGGGAGGCTTGAAACTCACAGTAAGAGAAAATTCAAGGTAACCATGGTGCTCTTTGCATGTATGTCCTGACCCTGAAAGGCAGCCCTGACAAAAACCCTTCAAAAATCAAACTCACTCCCAGAGTCAATTTTCCTCTCACATCCACAGTGAGAATTCATCCCTGCATTGATTTCCATGTCCTACTCAGCAGCTGCCCTGAACACAGCTCAGATGAGTGGAGGTCCTTTGGGAGGCATGAGTGCAGGACATGGAGCAGGAGGAAGAGCTTTGGCTGAGCAGCCAGGCTGCACTGTGTGGAGCTGTGACACCTCTCCCTGCAGGGCAGCACTGCTGGGGTGCACAGGTGTCTGCTGAATACCTTCACGTGGATTTAGTGCAACTTCTGCTGGCTTGGAAAGCTGTGGGGAGGCAGGCAGCTGCTCAGAGCCAGCGTGTGGCTGAGCAGCAGCCACGGCCCAGCTCACACCCATGGCTCATGTGACAGTGGCAGTAAAAGCTGATATGTTGCAGGTGCATTCTGGCACCTGCGGTATTTTCATGCTTTTTACAACCTTTGCAAGTTAAAGTGTCAAGGTGTGATAAACTATGTAGCAGTGCATTCCTTACATTTCATATACAAAAAAGGGCTCAAGACTGGGAGCAAGAAGGCACAAACTTGGGAAATAACATAGCTGAGGAGTTTACACAAAACTACTATGTCATTTATTAGGCATCACTTAGCACTTATTTCACATTTTTGCCCCCAAATTACCCAAAGCAACATAAATTTCTCCACTTCCTTTCCCTTTGCACCCTTCTTTTGGATAAAGCTGCCTGTGCTCTATAGATACAGTTGCTGCAGAATATAACGTGAACACAGATAAATACAACATACACAGCAAAAAAAAATGTATTATAGTATTACAATAGTCAAATAAAGTAATTAGCCTCAAGCTCCGGCAGTGCCTGTGTGCTCCAGGGAACCAGTTCACGAACAGCAGGCGGGGCCACTGTACAGGAGCAAACCAGCATCAGCAGTGTTGGGAAGAGAAGGGGCTGGGGAGGCTCTCAGGTGCCTGGGTGCAGTCGGTCACGGGGATCTGCTCACCTGGAACTCCCAGCCAGGGCCTCGGAGCTTTCTTCAGCCCGTGTCAGTCCAGCGGCGGGTCCTTGGAACACCTTTCCTTGAACATCTGTTCGTTGTGCATACACATAAAGTCACCTCACATTCCTCCTGTTAGGCTATGTTTTCTTTATATATATAATTTTTTTTTAACCTTTTAGCTTTTGAAATTTTTTTTTCTTACAACTGTTAAAAAAGTTTCATGGTAAAAATAGCTCACTATATGATACATATACCCAAAGTGGTGCGATACTTTATATAATAAAAGATGAAAATAGTCACTTTCCATAATAAAAATAAGTTCTATTTTTTGCTTATTTTACAATATACTTAATAATTCTTTTCTTCTTCTTCACTCTGCAAGTAAATAGGTCCCATTTTGATAACGCTTCTGAGTCGATTAAAGTGGCCAGAGACCGGGGAATGGCTTATAAGCACTTTGAGCAGCCGCACTCCACGTGTCTCTCCAGTTCTTCCGTGAAGGAGGAGCCATCCAGGCACTGGAAGAAGTATTTCCTCCTCTTGCTGCGGAGGGGCACGCAGCACTGCCCGCCGCCGCAGCTGCCGCGGCACTCCAGGCGCGGCACTTTGGAGGCGCTGGCACACGAGGTGTGGCCCTGCTGCTTACGGACCACTTCTCGAATGATGTCTCCTTGGCAGAGGCTCTCTGCTGGGGCAACAGAGATGGAAAGGAGTAAAAAACGTGGGAACTGTTTTGCCGGATATTCCCCGCACATCAGCAAGCAGACCTGGGTTCGTAGTGGGATTCAAGGCAAGCAGATGGCACGAGAAGAACCTTAATCTTTTATTGCTTTGTACCTGCCACCAAAACAGAGCTTGTCTGCACAAATGTGTAATATCTGGTGCAAGGCCAAGGCCAAGCAGGCCTGCTGGCTTTGATCAGCAGCCTGGAAGTGTTTTAATGAATGCTGAGTGTTGAGTTCTGCAACACTCTTTCAAAATAAGAATTAGTTTTACCATGTCTGCTTCTCTGGAGCAAAGGTCAGCCTGCACTGTGTGACACAGTGGTCTGGGAAACCTGAAAGTGTCTGTGCTGTTCTACAGTCCCTGTCCAGCAGCCAGATACATTTTGGTGATGGGCATGTGTAAAATTTGGAAAGTCTGTGGTTCATGCACAGGAAAGGGACAACCTAAATAAAAATAATACAATACAGCCCCTTCCTTCTGAACAAGAATAAAAAAAGGCAGAAAGGATGCAGTTAAAACTCAGTGAGTTTCCAGGGACTCTTTTCAGGTCAGGGCAGAAGAGTTGAGCCTCAGCTCTTGTCGGAAAGTCCAGCATGACCTGTGAGATTCCCCAGGTGAGAAACCTGCCCAAGCTGAAGGAGTGAGCTGAGAATCTCTCATGCCACCTCAGGTGAGCAGTTCCTCCTTGTAAGACCTCCCTTCCCAGCATTACAAATAACTGATCCCTCCTTGCTGAGTGTAAACCTCACAACCTCTTCTTTAAACATCCCACCCAAATCCTGGCAGCAGCAAACCTCGAGGATTCAGGAGACAGAAAATAAAACTCTTCTGTCCATGTCCCCATTTCTCTATGTGATAGCAGCTACCTACTGTTATGTGATTCTGTTCTCCCTGCACTGCTCTGCAGAGGTTGGCTTAGCTTTTATCTTCTATTTGTCATTTCCCCCCAAGATGAGTGTCAGGGAAGCGAGGTGTAAAGCAGGTGTAAATCAGGTGTAAAGCAGGAATGCTGCAGCACAGCTCCAGCCCCGGGGCCAAGCCTACCTCTGTCACAGAGCTCTCCACTGTAGCCGGGGTCACATTCACAGTAGGGCTCCCCGTGCTCCGAGACCTTACACTGCCCGTGGCTGCATTTCAAAGTCCTGCAGGGGCTTGAGGAATTGCTCTTCTTGTCACAGTAGGTGCCCGTGTAGCCCTCCATGCACTTACAGGTGTAAGCAGCGCCGGCCGCCGTGCACTTACCATGCACACACCTGGAGAAACAGAAGCATTTAGAGCTGGTCTTTGCTAGACGTCAAAGTTCCTGTTCCCAGAAATGTTTGATTTTGGCATTTCTGCCCATTTAATTCCACGATGCTAATCCACAAACAGCAGCTCAGTGTCAAACACTCTGGAGAAAACTGTTATTTTTCAGTGAATACTGGGCAACATTCAGAGAATACATTTAGAATTTGTGAACCTAAGTAGAAAACTTTAAGCTCTTCCGTGAGCACAGACCAAGGCTTGGCACCCACACGAGACAGCTCACATTTACAGCAGCAGCAGGTGGAACTAAGTGCCAACAATCAAGCTGCATGCCCAGGCTTCCCGAGCAGATTACTGCACAAATAATATCGGGTGAGGAAAACCAGTGTGATAAATGAAGGTGCTTGTGGCAAAGCTATGCACAGACTTATCAGCGGGCACCTGTAGCTGAGAGTTCCCTGGCTCGTGGGGTTTGCAGGGAGCTTTGGCATTTCCGAGGAACACCACAGGGTGGGGTGGTTGGTGATCCTTAGCAAGTTCTCTGACACTGTCTCCACCTCTGGGCAGACTTGAAACGAGCTTAGAACAGCAATTCTCTCCAGCCAAGGAAAAACTGCTCAGGGCTTTTTGGCATAACGTAACTTGACATAAGCCCATGTATCTCTTCTTTTTATTTTCTTCCTAGTACTTTACAATTATTCTCTGTTTATGTTGAATTTTTGTACATTTAGTTTTAAAGCTCTGAACTAAAAAGGACAGATTATAAGAATAGTTTCAGTCAGGTCCAGACATGCAAAACACTGTAATGAAGGCAGTCACAGTCTGTACAGAGCAGTATTTTCTGCCCCACGAATCAGAGGTTACCTGATCTTTACCAGGTGCATTTCCTCAGTCAGAATAACCTGTGAGTGTTGGAGCAGACACTTGCCAGCAGGGCTCCACACTCCCCGGGATACACTGGGTAGGGCTTTAGGGAGCCAGCTCCAGAAGGCTGAAGTGATTCAGGAAAGGTGGTACAGTGTGTGAGCATTAAAAATACACACAGCTACTTTCCTTAGCAAGGAGCCATGTTCATGATTGCCTCACCCTCCCTAGGCTATGAGAGAAACAATCCCTCATCATGTAAACATCTGGAACTCCCTTATTTTTCTCTGTCCAACCACAGCAGCTTTGTGTTGACATTGGAAATTCAAGGAAACATTTGGGTCTTCATACCTTTGGTTTGTTAACTGTCAGGTGCTTTTCAACACCTTCCAGACTTCAGTACTTTGCAGAATTAGAACCAGAAGCAAGTTTAAAATGGTACCTTTGCCAGGTTAAATTTCTCAGAGTGATTATTCACTGCATCAATTTACCTGTCAAAAGCATGTGCTCATGAAAAGTGCCTTCCAAGAGAGCAACTGAATGAACTTCTAAAACAAAAGTACTTCCATCTGCTTATGAAACAACACTGAAATATGCAGCCTGCTGCTCTGCACAGGACTGTTTCCTGTGTATTGGCCATAAGAAAGCTATTCATCCCGTGTTTCTGATGGAGATGTGGTTATTGAGCCTTTGAACTGTAAATACTTTACACTCACTCTCCCTTCACATGCAACACCACGCTATCCTTTAAACTTGCACTTTAAAGGGCTGTTTAAAAGTGTAGTCTTTAAGGCAGCTATTTGGGAAATTTAAAACTGCTTACACTGGAGTGCATAATGGTCTTGGGAGTAAGTTTGAAGACTGGGCTCAGTGCTGCTGGGAGAAAACCCCAAAATGTGTACCTCCCCCTCACAGGCAGCTCTGCTCTGGATCAGTTCAGGCACTCACCTCCTGGGGTTAAGCCATGCCTATTAACAGGAGGTTTTGTATTTTAATGTGTAGAGTCACAGTTGAAGGTATGAGCTGCAGCATTAACACCTGAACTCCTTCAGGACCATAAGCTCCTTTGGTGAGTCAGCAACATCTGAACAAGAAGTGGAAATTGAGAGCTGCCACAGATGCAGACTCACAACTGTCAATAACCTTATGTGAGGACCCAGCACCTCCAAAGACAGTCAGATGTGGTTTTGCAAGATGAAATGTGAAATATGAATTAGCTATAAAGCTTTCACTCTCCCATCACCATTTGTTTGAGCTTACTTGTGGTTGAGACATGGATCTCCAATTTCCTGGTCACACAGAGGGCCCATCCAGCCTGGGTGACATTCACAAACCACACTTGTTTTCTCCAGGGATCGGCAAATCCCATGCTTGCAGATGTTGCAGGATTTGCAGCCAGGAAGGACTCCCAGGGACTGCTGAGGTAAATCCTTGAAATCCTGCAGTTCGTTGTTGATTCTGACGTCGTGAATGCACCCATGAAAACCATTTGGTGTCTTGTCTGCACCCTGGCGCAGGGATGACAATCCAGTAGAGGTTGGGATCCCTTCAGATAAAAGCAGAAGGGGAAGGTTCACTTACACTTACAATGATAATATTTAAATTATAATTGCTGAAGCTTCTTTTGTCACAGCCCCTTAAAGTCTTTGAATAACTAATTTGCATAGGACCTTTGTAAGGTAACACAGTCTCATTGTCCTCATTCTGGAAATGGAAAGGAAAAAAAACAAACTCACTTGCCCAGTCTTCTGTAAGAAGTACATGACCAAAAAAAAAGAAAAAAAAAAAAAAAAAGAAAAACCAAACCAAACCTTTTTTTTTGCCTGGTAGCCATGTGTTTCTGTCCTCAGATAATGCTCCTTCTCTCTACAGTTTAATAGTAATTATTCTTCTGAAAGGTTTGAGAATGCTTTCATTTGTCAGCAGGTAGCATCCGCCTCTGGGATGCAACAAGACAGGGGTCAACATGCAACACTGGGTCACAGTGTTAAGAGAGGGAGTGGTAAGAGTGCATCCCATGGAAAGTGGTGCAGGAAAGCTCTAAAGACAGGGAACAGCACTTCAAGGGCCAGACCAAGGCTTTGTGGCAAGCACCTCCCATCTTGTTATTGGAAGAGTTCACACAGTTGGATGAAGAACCAGCAGGTTCTTTTGGATGTTGTTTTATACTTTCCCCACTGACATCAGCCTGGATGTACAGCTGCATTAGCACAGGCAAGTGCTTCCCTTTTCAGCCATGTGAGGCCTCTGAACATATAAGTAATGCCACTGTTAAAGATGGTCCTAAAACAAATCCAGCATCTGTTTAACTGTGTGTTAGGAGGAAAGTTGCTAGAACAGGTGACGTGGTTGTGAGATGGACAAAACTGTGAGCACTTGAAGGTTCAGGTCTGTGTTAACCTTACTGTAGGTCAGGAACAATTGTTCTGGGGTAATTTAGGCAACTACTTTAACTAAATCACCTGCAGAGGAAGGGCAGCTGGCTTCGATGGGAGGGCTGCACATTAAGAGGTGGCACATGAAGAGCAGGGAGGGTTTAGAAAGAAGCAAGAAGAATTTTAATAGGCAACAGCAAAAGTCTTTACTGAGCCTATGGATCCTGGTATCCAACAGTCCTTCATTCCAGACCTCAGGTTTTTCCTGAGAGTTTTTTAGGTACCTTTTGAGAATTAGTATTGATCCATGATGCTCATCTATTAACAAAACTTTTCCATGAGATTAGTTCCCAAGTTCCCTGTGTATAAATTACTGCAGGATTGGTATCTTTTGTGCTGTGCTAAAGGGAGAAATTGTGATGGCCTCTGCACCAGCAGATTATCTTTGATGCACAATGCTCTTTAATAGCCTGTGACATTCTTAATAGGAGCCAATTATAAAAGTTCAGCTCTGTACAAAGCAAGATTAGCCAGTTTTCTGTTTTACAAGGGCAATATTCAGGGTTCTTTTAAAAAAAGTGTTATTAAAGACGATTATTTAGAAAAGCCTTGACCAGCACCAACTGAAGTTGGTAAGAGTTTCTACTATTGGCTGTTAGTTGGCTTCAATGATCTCATTAGAAAAGGCTCAAAGACTTTCTGAGTCTATTACCATTCTGCTGACTTTTGTATTTGGAATAGGCTGACTAAAAATTCAATAACTCCGTGTCACTGAAAGAGAGATTTCAACATTCACTCCAGAATAGAACTAGGGGGGTTCTGGCAAAACCAATCCAGTGGGCAGAAATCAGCCTTTGTTCTGTCTCTTGTAACCAGACACCTAATCAGTGCTATAGTCATTATTCTGGGCATTGCTCCCCACCCCATCTGGCCTCTTCTTCCCTCCAGATTCAGTCCTTAATGTGAAAGTATTTCTTAACGGAGGTTTGGTCAATTCTAATATCTGTCTAAAACTGTGGCTTCAGTTTCCAAGGAGAAAACATTAACCAAGGTGTTCTTAGCTTGTGTGTTAATATGTTTTTTAACCACACACCTCTTTCCCCCCAATTTTTAGACCTCTATTAAACTTCCAGCAGAAATACTGCTCAGTTATGGTATATTTAAACCCACTGACTATTGATTTCCTTTTTTTGCAATGACAATTTGTGATACTCCAAATGATCCACTTCAGCCATGACACCTTGGTTCCAACCAGTTCTGGAAGCTTCTGAAATGCCAAGAGGGCTTTTCCTGCAGTGGCTGTGTGAGAGCCCTCTCCATAGGATGGAAGATTATTTGTTTCTGAGAAAACATGTTAAACCTTCAATTCTAGAGCAATTCACAGTACCTCCAATGTAGAGGGGTGTGTTGAGGCTGACAGAAGACTGTTTCTGGAGCTTTCCCAGACTCTTGGGAGCCCCCTTGTCCACCACCAGGTTCAGAGTTTGATTCAGCATCACGAGTTCCACACTATGGAACTGCCCATCATTTACTGTTTCCACACTAAAAAGTAAGAGGGAAAAAAAAAAAGAATTAGAAGATGAACAAGGAACAGCCTCTGCTTCTGTGACATCCTGTGTCCCTGTGTCCCACCTTGCACAGCACAGCTCTGGAGTGCTCTGGAGTTTGCAGTCACGGTGTTTTCAGCATTTCCTCCAGCAGGGAGGTACAGACTGACACTCAGCTAATCCTGTGCAGGCAGTACTGACACATGTGGAGCACTTCAGAGGGCAGCTCATCAGGACAACAGCCATGCCAGCTGTTGTTCCCAGGGCAGAAAAGCCACTCTGTAGCTACATGACACACTGGCTTTGGTGACAAAATCCTGACAAATCCCATTCTGTGCTCTCAGCCACAGCCTGCTGCCCTCAGTCACACTGCTTGGTGCTCATGCTGCAGGCTGGATCACTGAAGTAATTTTTTTAAATTCTGCTATGGGTGGTTCAAACTCAAATTATCTCACGTAGGTGAGAGGTTGAGGAGAGACTGCAGTTCAGGGTGAGACAGAAGAGGTCTCTGAAACCAGCATCTCCTCACAGCAGAAGTGGTTTGGAACTACGAATCGAGGAAAAAGGACAGACTGAGGTTCTTAAAGCCAGAGAAGGAATTCAGGAGCTTTTGGCTTATAAATGACCAGTGTGCTTTGTTCAATATCAGACAATCCTACCTGAACACAAGCAAAAATGACAAATGGCTACTTCTTTTTAAGGTTAAGGTCTAGATTGAAGCTTGAAGATAAAACAGTAGGAATTGTTGGGTGGTGGGGCAGAGAGCCAGCAGAGTAGACAAGATGTTAAAGTAGTGTGTATTTATTGCTTTGTTTTTAAAACTGATTTTTCAGATGCATGAAGCATGCAGCAACCTCCTAGTCTATACTTCAAACAATCTTCACCTTCGTCTCCTCTTCACTCCCCCAGACATTAAAAGGTACAGTGATATCATTCCATTTGCATCGTGATATAATTTTTTAATTTTCAGGGCATTTTCAGCTCTCAAACCTTTATGCTGCATGGTGAAATTCTCTAAAACAACCCGATGGTTTCATGCAGTCCTGAAAGCAGGGCGAGGCAAGGGTGGGATTACCTGCTCTTGAGAAAAGAGGGTCTCAAACCTGGGTGATAGTTACAGATCTGATGGGATTTTCCCACTGCTGTAGGTGTAATTAAAAGGCACGGTATCTGGTCCATGTGCACTCAGACACCAGGGCACAACAAGAACCTGATAACAGTAGTGGCTGGTCTGGAATCAGCCTGTGGGCTCTGTGAACTGCCCACATGCACAGTGAGCACCCTTTCCCAGATACCTCCCTTCAGGCTGGGGGTGCTGTTTTGTGTGGACAACGACAGAGCACAGCAGCTCTGGGCATCCTTAGATACTGCCTGGATTTAGGATTGCTGCACATGTGGTGCACACCACAGCACAGTGTCAAAGTTTGGGTTTCTGCTCGTTCAAGTAAGCATAAGCTCATCATCCTCTCACAGGAAGTTACAAATTTAGGTTCCTTTCAGGCGATTTGTAAATTGGCAAGGTCTCTCTGAGCTATTTACCCACACTTTCTTCGCTGTCAGTGGAGAGGAAGAGACACACTCATCTCTAAGGGTGAATCACCTTTTAGATGTGCCCACCTCTCAACCTAGATGACATGCTGTGCCCATCTTTAGTGCCCAGTCCTGCAGAACTGATGTGTAGGCTATTGCAGCAAGGAAACAGGACCTCGACTTCACAAACAGATTACATGCCTTGGAGATTACTGGAATGCAGTTATTACTGGAAGAAGTTTCATTTTTATAGTGTTTTATGGTAGACCTGACATAACCAATTGTACTTGAGTGATGTCAGGCAGCAAGTCAGCACTGCAGGCATTTCTGGGGATGTGCTGTTTGACAGGAGCACACTGCTGCTCCAGACTGGAGCTGGCGTGACTCTGCAGTGCTGCTCTCCCCACAGGTTTTTGGGACGAATCACAGGCCTTCAAAAGTTCATGTAAGGTTACACAGGTCATGAGGTAACAGGCAGCAGTGTATGAGCACCTTTACAGTGTGGCTTTACATAAATAAACGAGTTAGTTCTGCCACAGAAAGGCTCCCAGGAAAGCTCTGCTGGCTTAATCACTCATTCCTGACCTGCAGGGAAGCATTGGGCTGTGGCTGCTGCCCGTGAGAGAGCCCTGGGGAGAACTCAGGAACCTGGAGCTGATGGTAGAGTTCCAAGTGTTTTAAAGAAAAAAACATGAAGGCTTGACACTGAACAAAAATGTGATCCAGTTAGTCCAGCAGACACTCTGGATCACAGCAGTTGTATCAGGGCCCCGGCAAGGGCAGTGAGTTGTGTGGGCCAGGATGAGAGGCAGAGGATGTGTGCTGGACTCACTGCTCACGGGCCTGAGCCTGTTCCCCTGGGAAGGACAAGCCTGTCCCCACTGCACCCGAGTGCACTGCAGCAGGGCCACGCCTCGGGCACTGCACTTCGTGCATTGGCAACTCAAGTAAGTTTGGAAAGAGCTGGTCTGAACTTTGAGTTTAGGTTCTCTGGAATTCTGCTGAGTGTCTGCTGCCTTACAAGGAGCAGCTGTGCTAGGGCAACACCGGCTGGGTGATCCCTCTGTGCTCCCTGCTTATCTCACTGCTTTCTGCAATGCCTGATTCCCAGGGGGAAGCACTTGGACTTCCAGCTGAAAGGTGTGAGATAAATGGAAATGCTCACGTGTAATTGTTAATCTGTGCAGAAGTGCCAATGAAAGGGAGAAGTGGAGCCAAACCCCATGGGCTGTGAGAGCTGAGCACTGTGGAGGTGGGATGGATGGCTGTAGGATTTGGAGCCCTTCCCCAGCAGGATCAATAGGTGAAGCTAACACACAAACCACATGGTTATCTGCTCAAGGCCAAGCTATGGCCATTTGTCAAAGGACAACATTATCACATCTGGCAGGATTGGCTCGTCCCAGAGCCAGGATTTCACAAGCATTCATCACCTACTCTCCACAGGGTGTGCTTTTTCCAGATTATGCCTTGACTAGCAGGCACACAAAAGTCTGCAAGTTTTGGGGATGGAAGCAGCCACCCCACATGGTGCTGATGCCTTTCAGCATACCCAGAGCTGGTATTTTTGTTGCAAAGGGAGTGAGAGGTCCCAGTCTGAAGGAACACATAGATGAGTATTAGTCCATTTTGATTCTTCACTTTTTAACCTGGAATTAAAATAATCTTTGTCTGAACTTTGAGAAACAAAGTAACTCACAGCCATCACACAACACTGCAGTTTTGCAAAGCAGATAAAGTTAGAACAGACAAAGCACTCATTTGCTGTTTGAGAAGACACAGAGATATGATAGAAAAGCTGAATGTGGACAGCCAGGATGACAGGAAATCCCCAGCCAGCAGATACTTGTGTGAGAGCGCTTACTGCTGCTGCTGATGGAAAGGCATTCAGACGCCTTAGCATTTTGAGATGGAGACAACCGTGGGGGAGAGACCAGTGGTGAGAGAAAAGCTGCTCCTCAGAGCCTCTTGTTCAGCCGGGCCTGGAGGAGCCCCGGCAGTCGCCGGAGCCAGCTGGAGCCAGTGGCTTGGCCGGGGATGAAGGGCGGCGGCCGCAGGCGCTGAGCAGCGCTCGCTGCTGCGCCCGATCTTATCGGGACCCGCCGCTCCCAAGGGTCCTGTTCAAACCTCACTGAATTCTCACTGGGATCGGCTGCTCCTACAGGGCTCTTCCTTCTGGAACCGCCCGCGGGGTGGACACACTCCCCTCGAGCCGGGATTTATGGGGCTCCCCGCGCCGAGCTGCCCGCTCCGAACGTGGCGGGGTGCAGGCCGGGAATGTGGGGTGCGAGCAGGGAATGAGGGATACGGGCAGGGAATGTGGGCCGGGAATGCGGGGTGAGAGCCGGGAATGCGGGCCGGGAATGCGGGCCGGGAGCGCGGTGCAGCGGCGGGGACGGGCAGCAGAGGGCGCCGTGGCACCGCGAGCCGAGCGGGGACAGCCCAGCTCCAGCTCCGGCTCCCGGCCCCGCTCCCAGCCCCATTCCCGGCCCAGCTCCCGGCCCGGCTCCGGCTCCCTTCCCGCTCCCAGCCCCATTCCTGGCCCCGTTCCCGGCCCAGCTCCGGCTCCCGGCCCCGTTCCCGGCTCCCTTCCCGCTGCCGTTCCCGGCCCCGGTTCCCGCTCCGCCCGGGCTGCACGGTGGAACCGAATCAACCGGTGCGAGCGAGCACGACGAGGGACACCCGAAAGGGGCGGCAGAAAGAGCCCGAGGAGCTGAAGCCGCACCCGCTGCCTTTCCCGGGACTCTAACAAACCATGTGCTGCTCCTGAGATCTGTCCAAGCCTCTAATACATCAGGAAAGTTTCTGACTTCCAAACGCAGCATTTTGTGCCACCGCAATTGAATATTGTATAGTTTCCTACACATCTTTGGTGAAAAAAGGGGAGGAATTACGATTAAACACCTGAAGCGCAAGCAAGGATTCCCAGGAATTTAATAATTAAGCTTGCTGAAAAGTAAGCAGCAAAAGGAAGCCGAAGTTTCCCCTAAAGCACTGCTGCTCTGGATCGTGGTCAGCAGCTGGTGAGGAACACCTGGTCTGGCATTTCCCCACTGTGCTCACTCTGCAGCACCCCTCCGCTCTCTCTTCTCCATCACACTCCTCTTTTCACAGCCCACTTTACACGCCTTGCACAGTCCAATACATTGCTCTCACTGAGGTTACCCTCACAGAGAGCTGGCCATGGCATCTGCTCAAATTTGGCAAAAAGAAGAGGAAAATGTTGGGATGTGAGAAAAGCCCAGCTTCCAAAGCCCTGGGTCCAGCATCTTCTATTCCCTCTGAGCTGCCCTCACAGGGAACAGAGGCCACTAGAGAGGGCTCTGTGGAAGATACATGAAGTTTTCCTCTGGGAGGGAGCTGCCACTTCTGCCAGAGCAGCTCCAGCCAGGTGAGCCAGTGGAGCCATTGCACAGGGCACTGCACACAGTGCACATGGCCTCTGCTGGGAGCTCATAACACAAAGTGAAGGGAAAGGGATGTGTATTAAACATAAAACCCCAGGGAATACAGGAAAGAACTGATTTCCACTCTCATTTTCAGCTATTTCTCTTCTCTCTCCTATAT